GGTCTCCAGAGCCGGCACACGAGGGTGTGGGTGGCCAGCACCACGCCCGACCGCCTTTGCCTCCCCAGTGGCGACGTTTACACACCGCACCAGGTACTCATTTGAGGCTGAGTCGACATAGGAGAGGCCCAGGACCGGTTCAGATCATCCAAGTTCTAGAAACTTTCACCACATTCCTGTGACCGTGGGGCAAGGGGCCGTCCATAAATGACGTCACACACCTAGGGGGGGGGGGGGGTCAGACATTTGTGACGAGGGGGGGGGGGTGAGAAATGTGACGTCACATCAAAATGCGCAACTTTAAATAAATATAGACAACACGTTCTACTTTATTAAACAGACTTCTTAATAAATTATTTCTCCTACAACATCAGAGTGCAGCGCCACATTAAATACGCACTACAATGACAATAGTTTAAAGCGATTTGAAGCATGTTTGATTTTTTTTTGGGGGGGGGGCAGAGCTTTGTGACGTCATATTTGAGGGGGGGGGGTCTGACTTTTTGTGACGCCGTGTGACGAAGGGGGGGGGGGGGTCAAAAAACGTCCAAAATCGCGTGACGTCATTTATGGACGACCCCTTATCGAGCCACGTGCTGCAATCAACGTGGAGCGCCGTGGTCACAATCGATGCCCACGGGATCGTCGATCTTGCTGCTGATATTAGACAATCAAATGAAGGGGGGCGGAGGGGTGGGGGGCTCGTCACGTCATTACTCGATCCATCGATCGATGGGCAATTTAATGAACAGAGCGATTAACCCGCAAATTACAATTGACCCCGGTATTTTTTGATGTTCGTTTATTATAAATCGACCGAGCGGGATCGATACCATTGATTTTGATGAACGATCCACAATGACCATATGTGGGCAAATCTCTGATCGGTGATTTTGTCGGGCGTACGATTTTATCGATCTAATACCGTGCCAACCTGGACGGAGTGCGCGTGTGTCTGTACGTGTCTGTGTGTGTCTGTCTGTGTCTCTGTCTGTGTGTGTGTATGTCTGTGTATGTCTGTCTGTGTGTGTCTATCTGTTACAGCTTTTTGTTTATATCGTAGTTTAGTGGTAGTTCATTGAAGGTGGAGGGGTTACCAGCCCCTCGCACCCGTCCAGAGCCCCCGTTTAGCCACTGTGGTGGTCACAGACGCCATGAGGGGAGAGGCCAATGGCCCTCTCCCCACAGCACTGCCCACGACAGTGTTGCCCGTCCGGCACCGCGAGGAGGTAGGAGGTTGTTTTGCCAGGTCTTCTCGGTCACGGTCATTCCCTCCCTTCTCTACGCTTGCGAAACGTGGACCCCCCTAATGGAGCATCTTCGCTGGTTGGAAACATTTAGGCTGGCCTGCCTACGATCCATCCTGGGTTTAACCGGGCTGGATTGTGTGAGGAGCTCACAAATCCTTGAAAGATCTGGGCAAAGTCCCATCGGTGAGCTCCTCCGGCAGGCAAGGCTGCATTGGCTGGGTCATGTAGCCCGCATGCCCAGCCACCGCATGCCTAGACAGCTTTTGTTCGGCCGGATCGAGGGGGCTAAACGGGCGCGGCACGGGCTAGAGAAGAGATGGAGTGATGTGGTACAGGAGGACGTGGAGCTGAGTGGACTTGCCGATGACTGGTACCAGCGGTGTCAAGATCAGCCTGTGGAGGAGGCTCGTGAAGGACGCTACTGGGCAGTTGGAGGCAGTCGCCCTCCAACAACAACGGAGGGCGGTGGAGCGACGCTCACAACAACGAGCCGAGCGCCGGGTGGCTAAAGCCAGGCAAGTTGGTACAGTAGGGGGCACAGGTGGTGCATCAGCCAGTCATCTCGGTCATCTCAGTCAGTCGACCCGTGGCACCTGGGTCTGCCCCGTGACCTCCTGCCAGCGGGCGTTCGACACTTCACGTGGCCTCAAGGTGCACATGGCCTGGCACAAGCGTCGTGGCGACGTCACCGCCACTTAGTGGCGAATGGCGGTTGTTGTTGTAGTGATTAGCGCTACGCTGCGCTATGAAACAGGCGTCCCGAGTTCGATTCCCGCTCACGGCCACAAGCACCCAGTGACGATTATGTCAACGGGTTATGGGGCGTCACCTAGGTCGACTCAGCCTCAAATGAGTACCTGGTGCAGTGTGTAGTCAACATCGCCACTGGGGAGACAAAGGCGGCCGGGCGTGGTGTTGGCCCACCTACCCCCTCGTGTGCCGTTCGGGCCTTAACAGGTGCTACTCGCTAACAGCACTTGTCCCAACAGTCTGTTGAGGCTATACGGGGGATATTTGTCTTTTTGTGTGTATCCATACTGCGGGTTGACTCAAAATCGTTTAATACGTGGGATTTCGCGACCAATATTATTGATAATAAAGGTTGTTGCGTTAGATCACGAAAGTATAAATGTGTCGTAACCCTCCACCACCCGACACAGCCAATTAGTAAAGAATTTGACACGTAAACAAAACACCAATTAGTTGGTGATTCTGGCAAATTGCCCGATGATGCTGGTTGATGTAATTACCAGCGAAACGTCGTACTACTCAAATTGTAAATGTTGTGGATTTACTCTCCAACACCGGCACGCGTGTCTGTTGAACTTCTTTCGCGCCGTACGTAGCCAACCATGCTAATCGGAGGTGCAGTGTTGAGTCTATGGGCAGTGTTCGTCTATGCCATAGAGGCATAGACGAACACTGCCCATAGACTAACACTGACCATAGACTCAACACTCCCCATAGACTCAACACTGCACCATAGACTCAACACTCCCCATAGAGTCTATATGTTGAGTCTATGGTGCAGTGTAGAGTCTATATGTTGAGTCTATGGTGCAGTGTTGAGTCTATGGGGAGTGTTGAGTCTATGGTCATTGTTAGTCTATGGGCAGTGTTTAGTCTATGGGGCAGTATTGAGTCTATGGGCAGTGTTGAGTCTATGGGCAGTGTTGAGTCTATGGGTAGTGTTGAGTCTATGGGCAATGTTGTTAGTCTATGGGCAGTGTTTAGTCTATGGGGCAGTATTGAGTCTATGGGCAGTGTTGAGTCTATGGGCAGTGTTGAGTCTATGGGCAGTGTTGAGTCTATGGGTAGTGTTGAGTCTATGGGCAATGTTGTGTCTATGGGCAGTGTTGAGTCTATGGGTAGTGTTGAGTCTATGGGGCAGCGTTGAGTCTCTGGGCAGTGTTATTCTATGGACAGTGTTAGTCTATGGGCAGTGTTAGTCTATGGGTAGTGTTGAGTCTATGGGCAGTGTTGAGTCTATGGGTAGTGTTGAGTCTATGGGCAATGTTGTTAGTCTATGGGCAGTGTTTAGTCTATGGGGCAGTATTGAGTCTATGGGCAGTGTTGAGTCTATGGGCAGTGTTGAGTCTATGGGCTGTGTTGAGTCTATGGGTAGTGTTGAGTCTATGGGCAATGTTGTTAGTCTATGGGCAGTGTTAGTCTATGGGCAGTGTTGAGTCTCTGGGCAGTATTATTCTATGGGCAGTGGTAGTGTATGGGCAGTGCTAGTCTATGGACAGTGTTGAGTCTATGGGCAGTGTTAGTCTATGGGCAGTGTTAGTCTATGGGCAGTGTGTATGTTGAACTTCTTTCGCACCGTACGTAGCCAACCGTGCATAATCGGAGCAGGGGAAGGATGACAAAGTGGCCGTCACCGTCGACCAACTGAGCTGTCCGCGTCACGTCGGGAGACTTTACTTCATGAAACTACATCCCCGCAACACTCTGGGCACAACCAATATTTTTGTTGTTGTTAATCATCAAGCTGACGTATCTCTCCAAAATCCCACTGTACATTACCAGCAACTACAATAAAAAAAGTTTTGCTGTCTGGCTGGCTGGCTTGCTGGCGTGCGGCGGTGCAAGTGGAGCGTGCGTGGTGGTGACGGTGGTGGCGACGGTGGTGGTGGTGACGGCGGTGGTGGCGATGTGCCACAAACGGAGAGCTGTGTCCGACCCGAAACGAGGACAATTGGGAGCCGCCTGTGAAACACAAACGCCAAATCTCAGGCTGATCAGCGTCTAATGAGTGCCTTCTGGATAAATGACCGTGCAATTATGGGCCGGTGTAAGACGAACGACACGACAAAGACGACTCGCGCTAACAGCTTGACACGGCAGCTGTTCCCAGGCGGCGGGCTCGCCGTGCCGTGAAGAGCCTCCCCCCGTTTGGCACGGCCGGCCGCGCGAGCGTTACTAGTGTAACTAGCGTTACTAGCATTACAAGTGTTACTAGCGTTACTAGCGTAACTAGTGTAACTAGTGTAACTAGCGTTACTAGCGTTACTAGTGTAACTAGCATTACTAGTGTAACTAGCATAACTAGCATTACTAGCGTTACCAGTGTTACCAGCATTAGTAGCGTTACCAGCATTAGTAGCGTTACCAGCGTTACAAGTGTTACTAGCGTTACTAGTGTAACTAGCGTTACTAGCGTTACCAGTGTTACTAGCGTTACCAGTGTTACTAGCGTTACCAGCTCGTAGCATTACGAGCGTTACTAGCGTTACCAGCATTACCAGAGTTTCTAGCGTAACTAGCGTTAGTAGCAATACGAGCGTTAGTAGCATTACGAGTGTTAGTAGCGTTACTAGCGTTACCAGCATTACCAGAGTTTCTAGCGTAACTAGCGTTAGTAGCATTACGAGCGTTACTAGAGTTATGAGCGCAACTAATGTTACTAGCATTACTAGCGTTAGTAGCATTACTAATGTTACTAGCGTAACTAGTGTTACGAGCGTTATGAGCGAGCACCGAAGAGGTCCGGCACGGCGCACGAGGGAGTAGGTGGCCAGCACCGAGCCCTTTGTGTCTCCCTGGCGATGCTTGGACGCACCGCACTCATTTGGGGCAACATCGAACGAGGAGAGGAGGGGTCAAGGACCACTTACAGATAACCGTCGCTGGAGTCGGCCGCGAGCGGAACTCGGGTCGCCTGTTTCGTGGCACAGCGCGCTAACCCGCTAGGCCACTGCTCCGTACGTGCGCGCACACACACACACACGCGGACACGGCTTCAAGAGTCCACAAATAATTTATTGGGTTCCTTAAGCAAGTTCTCATTCGGACGAGAGTCCAACCGCAGCAGCACGCGTCCCTGTCCGAGCTCTCGCGAGCGAGCGGCCCCCGAGTGCGACCGGGGCTCAGTCGAGGTGGGGCGGTGGGAGACGTCGCTTGAACGCTGTTCCTGCAAACAGCGGAGAGAAGGGCACGGCTCTGGGTTACATCGTCACAGAGAAAAAGGATCAGGATCAAAAATTTAGTTTACACCAGAGGAATCCGACGAGCTTTGCAGCTCTTTTTCACAGATCTCCAGTAGGGGACGGTTCAGAAAGGTGCAACAACAAACGGTACAAAAAACGCGATCGGAGAACGAAGTAAAGGAAAGCTGAACACATCACTGCTCCTGACGCTGTTACATCGCTTGACCACCTGGGAGGTCATGGGTTCTGATTCCGACCCGGACGCCTGCTGCTGTATATTTGGAGTGTGTGTGTGTTCTCTCTCTCTCGCTCTTCCCCGTGGTCGCGTGGATTTTTCTCCGGGTCCTCCGGTTTCTCCCTCCAAATTTATAACACTGGTCAACAAATTTTTTTTTTTTTTTCTGGCCTGGACTTTTGCAGCTGTTTTAGACTAATTTCAGGGTGCTGATTCCAAATCTGATCTCAGATTTGCTCTATCACATCTCATTTTATGCTATCGGCAAGCCCATTTTCATTGATTTTACCCGAAATTAACTATGTCACTTATGATTGCAAGTTGTTGCGAGTCAGTGACTGCTTTAGTGTTAAAATATGGTGCTGTATTTTTAGTTTAGGATAGTGTGTTTATAATATCATTTTATGTAGATATCCACATTTATTTAATATTTTTCTTCTGCAGTTTTGATTGAAAATGCAATATTTGATATCTCAAAAACCTGATGTGATAGACAAAAACTGATGCCAGATTTGGAATCAGCACCCCAAAATTACATTAACACAGTTGGAATACCTTATGCCAGAAAAAGTGTGTTGACCAGTGTAATCAACATCGCGCGTTCAGAGCATTTGGCTGCTATGAATTTCCACGCGATAAGCCACTTCGTTGAGCTATCATTTGTGACGGGCAGGTCAAATTTTGAAAAGAGCTACACAGCTCAGTGGGCCTTAACCTGGTAAAATAAAAATATTGAAATTAGTTTAACCTGCGGCACGAGCTGATTTAATCGTTCCATCTCCCCGGCGGACGATTCCCAATTGGCGTTTTCTGTCGTTCCATCCCTCTCGGCTGCTACTACTTCATCACCACCGCCCATTATCCCTTCTATAGCCGTGACTCATGCCTCCTGCCCAAGCACCCCCCCCTCCTCCCCCCCCCACTCAACAGTTTGAATCGGCGATTTCACATTTTATAATTGTGGGGCTGACGACTGTGTGGTGTGCACCTTGGTGTGGCCTGGGACTGTTTTGTTGTTGTTATATTTTGCTTGATAAATTGGACGCTTGTAAGCAATTTATTTATATTTAGTGACTTTCTTGCCCTTTTCTCCACTTTGCACCCCTATCGGTTTGTGCTGTTGCATTGTTTGTTGCTGTAACTCGCCGACACGTCCCGACTGGAAACTTTAGCTTCGTAAGTTCATCGGATTCCTCCTCCTGCAGTCTTAATAAAAGATTATTATTCTGAACCCGGCGTGGGCATAGCAACGACAGATTTTAAAATGAACTGCAACTATGCATGGTTACTGAAAGTTCATTTGCCCGAGCCAACTTTCTTGACGGGCTAATAAAATTTATTTTGCATTGATTTACGGTTTGTGCAGTTTTCGGTTTCTTCTGCAAGGCCTAATTGTCTTTCATACAATTTCAGTTTGGCTCCGTTGCTCATGTGGAGGGCGGAAGAGCGACGCTCACAACAACGAGCAGAGCGCCGGGTGGCTAAAGCACAGCAATTTGGCACAGTAGGGGGCACAGTTGGTGCATTAGCCAGTCATCTCGGTCATGTCAGTCAGTCGACCCGTGGCACCTGGGTCTGCCCCGTGACCTCCTGCCAGCGGGCGTTCGACACTTCATGTGGCCTCAAGGTGCACATGGCCTGGCACAAGTGTCGTGGTGATGCCACCGCCACTTTGTGGCGAATGGCGGTTGTTGTTGTGCGTCTGTGTGTGTTTGTGGGGAGCGGTAGTGTAGCGGTTAGCACGCTGCGCTACGAACCCGGTGACCAGAGTTCAATTCGCGCTCACGGCCAACAGCGACGATTATCTTAACCGGTCCTGGGCCTGCTCACGGTCGACTCAGCCTCAAATGAGTAGCTGGTGCAGTGCGTAAAAACGTCGCCACTGGGGAGAAAAAGGCGGCCGGGCATGGTGCTGGCCACCCACCCCCTTCGTCTGCCGTTCTGGCCTACACAGGCGCTACTTGCTAACGGCATTTGCCTCAACAGTCTGTTAAAGCTACACGGAGGATCTTTGTCTTTGTCTGTGGCCTCACCTCCGAAATAAGAACGTGAATGGCTCGTTCTTTTACGCCGTTGCCTTCCGCTAATTTATTTTTGCCAACGGTTGATTTACAAACACCCGTTTTTTTATTTACATGAATAAACGCAACAGTTGGCGTTTTAAGGCCATCTTCACAAACCCACACACAGAGAGAACCTCTCAGTGCTGATTCTGGCACGGGTGGAGTTTGGTTGGAGTGGGGGGGGGGCACGCGTGGGGTACAAAGCACCCCCCCACACCGCCCAAACTAGACACCTTTATTAATTTACTTTCAGTAGTTTACCATTAAGATTAAACATACATTCATTCATTCGATGCAGCCGCGATTCATAATGCGAGGGACAAGCGAATCCTTGCCGCCACCTCGCCCCCAAAATATCTTAGTCAAACGCCGCCGATGGGATTCTGGAGTGGGAGATGGCAGCATTCACGAAGCGGCCAAACTCTGGGTGAGAAATCGCGAATGGGTGCCATCAGCGTGGCGATCCACCCCCTCGAACATCGATCATCGATCGCACGCAGTACAGATTAAAAAACACAAACTCAGACCACTCTCTGAGCTCCGTGGCCGAGAAGAAAACGCCACGCCCGGCCGCCTTTGTCTCCCCAGTGGCGATGTTTACGCACCGCACCAGGTACTCATTTTAGGCCGAGTCGACCTAGGGGAGGCCCATTGCCGGTCCAGATAATCGTCACTGGGTGTCTGGCCGTGAGCGGGAATCGAACCTGGGTCGTTGGTTTCGGAGCGCAGCGCGCTAACCGCTACACCACCGCTCCCCACAGTGAAGAAAACACACACACACACATAGTGTACACACACATAGTGTACACACACATAGTGCACACACAGTGTACACACACACACACACAGTGTACACACACACAGTGTACACACACACACACACAGATGTACACACACACAGTGTACACACACATAGTGCACACACACAGTGTACACACACACACAGTGTACACACACACACAGATGTACACACACACACATAGTGTAAACACACATAGTGTACACACACATAGTGTACACACACACACACAGTGTACACACACACACAGTGTACACACACACACAGATGTACACACACACACACAGATGTACACACACACAGTGTACACACACATAGTGTACACACACATAGTGTACACACACAGTGTACACACACAGTGTACACACACACACAGTGTACACACACATAGTGCACACACACAGTGTACACACACACACAGTGTACACACACACACAGTGTACACACACACACACAGTGTACACACACACACACAGATGTACACACACACACACACAGTGTACACACACATAGTGTACACACACATAGTGCACACACACATAGTGTACACACACATAGTGTACACACACATAGTGCACACACACATAGTGTACACACAATGCTTTGGCCAGCCCAGCTGCACCAACCCCTCACTCTACATTGTAGACAAGCAGACAATCCAACAAATATTTTTTAAATAGCGGATCCTTCGACTACTTTGTCCTTAAAACCTTCCCCATCCTCCTCTTCCCCTCCCTAACCTCGCCCTCCCTTCCCCTACCATCACCCTCCATTGCCATCCCATCCCTTCCTCAACACTCAAATCCCATCCCTTTTCCCCATGAGCCAATACTAATGTCCCATTCATAATTCTTGTAAAGCGCTTTGACAAAAAAACCCTATATAGAATTCTAGATAAGATAAGAAATCAAAGTATTTTGTACACAACCCACCAGCCCAAGGGCCAATTTCAACGGCATTGATTCGGCACAGGCAGACACTGGACCGTTTTCAACATTGCCGCGTCTCATCTCTCTGCAAAGGTCAACTGCTACTGCTACTCCTCATTTTTATTTTACCAGGTAAGGCCCACTGAGCTATGTAGCTCGTTTTCAGAAGCAATCTGCCCACAAATGATAGCTCAACGACGTGGCTTATCGCGTGGAAATGTACAGCAGCCAAAAACTCTAAACGCGTGGTGACGTTGATTTAAAATGTGGAGGTAAAACCGGAGGACCCGGAGAAAAATCCACGCGACCACAGGGAGAGAGAGAGACAAGCAAACTCCAAATATACAACAGGCGTTGGGGTCGGGATTGAACCCACGAACTCCTGCATACCCAGCGAAGTAGTTAACATCTCGCCACCGTGGCGCCCCGAACAATAAGAGCAAGGCCTAACCCCTCCACGTTGAAGTTGGCGCTACTACTAATACTCTTGATACAGATATTTTGCTGTGACAGTTTCACCTGAAGACGGAAGCTTGTGTTGCCTCCGAAACGTCGTGATTTTATTGTTTTTATTTTTTATTAATTTTAATTTCATTTTTTACCTATGTGACTTTACCGAAAGAACTAAGAGTATGAATCCTTGCAGTCACGAAAGCTTCAAATCTAGAGCTACTACTAATTTGCGGCGACCCGAGTTTCCATTCCAACGGAAGTGGCCGCTGACATCGGAACTGTTCCTGGCCGCCGCCCGGCAGCCCACCAACCCCCGCCCGAGCTCAACCAGCGTGGGTGAAGTATGGTCAAACGTGAGCGAAGCTCGGCGGCTTCCGCTTCATGGGGGGCCCAGTGGACGGAAGAGGAACGGCGAGGGGGGCGTGCGAGCGAGCGACAACCCATGTAAAGAACGGCAACGTCTCGGGGAGAGAGCGAGCGAGCGAGAGCGACGATGTGTGCGACG